CGGGGCCCAGGGAGGGCCCGAGGCCCCGCGGTGCCCGGGACGCCCCTTGTGCCCCGGGACAGCCGCCGTGCCCGGTATTTTTAGCGGGCCGTGACGCGGCGCAGCAGGTGGGGGGGGGGGCGGGCTCCGCTGGCCCCCCCGTTAAAGGGGCCCCACACGGGCGCGCACCCCCGCCCGGGGCTGGAGGCTCCGCTGACCGGAGGGGGTGGGGGGGAACCGGGAGCCCCGCGGCCGCTGGACGGGGCGGGGGGTCACGTGGGGGGGGGTCGGTACCTGGCGCCGCTGCGGCCAGGCCAGCCGGCCCGGGGGCGGCGGTGACGTCACGTCCCGGGCCCCGCGGTAACTTTGTAGCCCCAACTCCGCAACTCGCTCCCCCCCCCGCTCCCAGAGGCGCGGCCGCGCACGTGACCCGCTCGACCAATGACAGCGGGCGCCTCCTCGGCTCGGCCAATGGYAACGCCCCGGGGCGGCTGAGCAGATGGGGGCACGTGGGGGGTCTCGCGTGGGCCACGCCCCCTCCCCCAAGACCACACCCCTTGTGGCCACACCCCCTCCCGACCACGCCCCCGCCGAGGCCCCGCCCCCGCCGGCACAGAGGGACACGGCGCCTTTCAGCGTTTTATAGCGACCTTACAAAATTCCCGTTACCGCTCCGGGAAAACGGGAAGGGGCAGGCGGGGAACGGGAGCGCGATACAAAAGGGGACGGGGGGAGCAGAGCCGCGCGGCGGGGGGGTGCTGGGGACCGGGGGGCACCCCCTGTCACCGGCCGGGCGGGCGGGGAAGCTCCCGGCTCCGCTCGCCCGCGSAGATCCCGGCGGCAGCCCCGGGAGCGCGCGTCCCCGGCTCCGCAGCAGTCCCGGCTCCGGCGGAGCGGCCGCCGCGGAGCACAGCCGGAGCCGGGGAAGGGTCCCGGGAGTCAGCGTCCCAAGCGGCTCCGCGTGGGCGAGGGCGGCGCGCGGGGCCGCTCAGCCCTCGTTGGCCGCCACGAGCTGGCCCAGGCCCTCGCGCACGTACACGGACTGGATCTCCTTGGTCTTGAGGCAGTAGTCGCAGGCCCACACGGCCGACGCCTCGGTGGTGAGCAGCCCGTAGGCGCTCTCCGTCATGCCCGTGCACTCGCGGTGGAACCACTTCTGGCATGACGCCTCGCACAGGATGGCGTCCTGGTCGTCGTTGACCTCGTTGCGGCAGGCGCCGCACGGGTACACGAGCCCCGGCGGCGGCTGGTGCCCGGAGGCGCCGGCGGCCTTCCCGGCGGCCGGCAGGCTGTTGGCGTCGGGGGTGCCGCCGCCGCGGGGCGCGAAGCCGG